AGTCAGTAGATGTGGTTTTGTGTCCTAGCCCAGCTCTCAGGGCTGGCTCCCTGGCCCAACCACCAAGTTTCTTCCCTAAGCTTCTGTTTCCTTTTCTGTGAAATGGAACTATGAAGGAGACCTTCAAATATTAAAAGAGAAAATAAATATAAAATTAGCTTATAAAGAGAAAATCTGGATATCAATGTTGTGGTATCCACATTGCTGTACAAAATCTAAATGGTGTGAGATCTGGGTCACATTCAGGATGTTCTTCTTTGGCAGTGAAGAATTTGGGGGTGATCGAGCCAGGCTCTTCATGAAATTGAGAAGCTGGTGTTGGAGAGATAACATGGTTTTCAGCACCGAGAGACTGTTCTAGGTTTATGCCTTTTCATCTGATTCCTGGGCAGACAATAGGACATCCTTGTGGAGTACCACCCTGGGCCCTGCTGAGTTGCTGAACGAGGCCCATCTGTCTCGCTCTTTATGCAGGCTCCTCCATCTTTCTGGGGTGCTGAGTGAGTGAGGAACTGAGTCCTCTGGCTGGGAAGAGGGGTGTGTTCCTGACTTAATTACAGGAGAGTGTGCTTGCAGAATTATGGAGGCTAGTTTGTGTCTGGTGGATTGCATGTCTGTCACTAAACTGTGCTACGTGACTTCAGTCCAGCCCCAGGCTCAGAGTCACACACACACACACACACACACACACACACACGTGCACACACGTGCGCGCGCGCACACACACTCCGCCCCATGCCTCCTGCCCTTCTACAGTGCTAGATGATAAAGTCCTTTCTCAGGCACCATTTATGACTTCTCTTGTGACATGGCCAGGCCAAGGTTTCTCACCTCTGCTTGACAAGGGAGGAAATTGAAGCCCAGGGAGTTGAGCTGTCCCGGGTCGGGGGTAGGGCTCTGACTAGAACCCACATGGAGAATAAAGGGAAAGCCTTTACTTCTGTTCAGTTTGTCATGGGCTCTTTGGAGCTTTCTGAGGTGAGACCTCAGGGGGCAGGTGGAGAACCACAAACCAAGAAGGCAGTGCCTTGCCCAAGCCCATGAGGCTCTGATGGCAGGACCAGGAGACTGCCAGCCCTTTGCAGCGTGAGACCATGGGTTGGGTATTGACTGCAATGTTGGGGGGGAGGGGAAAGGGGAGGCAGGAGGATTGGAATATGCATGCTTTGCACGTGTGTGTCAATGTTTCAGCATTCCCAGAATTTCTGATTTAATATGGGTAATGATTTTCATTAGAGATTGGCTAATGAGTGGCTCCTCTCTGTTCCCTCTCTGGATGGCACCCCGGGTGGCTCTGTCCTAACCTAACCTGGCCTAGAGAGGCCCTCACTGCCTACCCTTTGCCCTCATAGCCTAACTGGGTAACTTCTGTGCTGTGTGGCCTGAACCCCTGGCTTTGGAACATCCAAATGGACAGATGAGGGCCCATCCATGAGTCAACAGGGCATAACAGAGAGGCATCTCTGCTCTGATTTTTTTTTTTTTTACACCCCCACTCTGATTTTTGCATTTGCTGTGGATACAGTGACCAGGGTGAGTCTGAATGTAAACTTCTACTCCTGGTACCCCCAAAGCCTAGGGTCACCTTCTGTCTTGATTTGGAGCAGTTCAGCACCAGACCTGTCAGACAGAAATGGCCCTAGTGGGAGAGACAACACTCCTCTCCCTCCCTCCCTTACTCCCCATCCTCCTTCCCTTGAATGTCAGATCAAAGAACCAAGGGAGAGGGTAATGAATACTGAAAAGGACAAGGAATAAAATGAGTAATAGCAGTACGGGTTCTTCTTCCGTAAAATGCAGAGAATCAGAAGACTGTGGTAAGTGGGTTTCTCAGCCCCCGCCTGCACCAGTCACCTGGGAGGTTTTTAAATATCTCAGTTCCCAGATGGTAGCCCACCCAGACCCAGGAGATGGGAATCTCTGGGGATGAGACCCGGGCAGCCAGTTTTGGAATCTCCTGGGTGATTCCCGTGTACAGCCAGTTGAGAACCACTCCTCAAAGGGTCAAGAGAGTTGGTTAACTGCTTAGAACAAAGATATCCCTGCATCTAGCTATGCACTAGAATCATGAGGAGGACTTTAAAAATGACACCGACTCCCTGGCCACACACTGCTGACCATGTAGATCAGTGACTTCCATGGTGTCTCTAGCTTGACCTTCAGAGGAGCAGTAAACTGGTAACAGAAGAGCTATCATCCATTAGACCTGACCGTGGGCCAGCATCGCAGATATTTCCAGTCACCACGAGTCCCTAGTAGGAAGTCATGATTCCCATTTTACAGATGAGGAAACTGATGCTCAGAGCAGGTAGCCACTTGCCCCAGGGGACAGCGTAGGTTTCCTGAGTCCAGGCCTGTCTGCGCTGGAGTGCTGCTTTTGCTGCCCAAACCTCTCAGCCTAGGGGCTGGCCCTCATGGAGCTATTCTCCCTCTTTCCAGTAATGGTCCACCAAGAAGGGCATCAGTGGCCTAAGCTCTCCTTGGGCTCCCCTTGGACTCCCGAGGGCAGGTTGAATGGAGGACCCTCCCCCAGGAAGAGAGGGGAGATGAGTGGTGGTGTTTGGTGTTTGGCTTCATTATTCACCCACTGTCAAAATACCTGCTTTTGGTGGGAGGAAATGGCCTGTATATTAGGACTGACCCCCCCAGTCACCTCTCATGGCCATAGTTGCTCTCAACAAGGAGAAAACTCAACCAGGAAAAGCAGACACTCATTTGTTTTTTTTGAGATTTTGAGGAATTTTTAAGTCATGTCATATAGAAAAATGGCTCTGTTTCCCTCATAAGTCAGAGAGGGGGAGCTTTCTCAAGGTGACTTAGAAATATTTCTCTCAGCTTTACAAAAATTCTGTACCTCCACATCTATGTTCTGTGAGCTTAAACAAAATGCTTAAAATCCTTAAGCTTTGGTTTCCCCATCAGTCAGCTGGAAGGAGTGAGCCCTGTCTGCCCTGAGGGCTGCTGACGCCAGGCTCCTGAGATGTCTGAGAAAAGAAAAACATGGCCGTCCTGACATTGAGACTTACAGTTGCCTGGGACTGGAAGCTTTGTCAGGTGTTTGCTGCCTCCGACTGAGGGACCCAGTGTCCCTGAGGCCCAAAGTAGCTCCAGGGGACCAGCTGTGTTAGAGATCTCACTGACTGTGTTCACTCTGGCTTTGAGAGGCCTGGCTTCCCTCCACCTGCGTCAACCCCTAGTGTGTAGACAGCTAGGAGCCAATATTCAGGGCATAAATAGCTGAAACTTTAGAATTAGTAGACGTGTAATATAAATTTGGTTCCATAAAGCCATCCCTGCCCAGCCTAGACCAGCTCCCAGGACCTTCTCCTTCCCTAGAGCTTCCTCTGTATCTGTTGTCTGTGCCTTTGGTCCTTGCTCCTTATTCTGTCACACAGGGCCTGTCACAGAGCAGACACTCAGGCAGCACTGAGTGAATGGAGGATGAGGGGATGGAGAGTTACGGGAATATGTGTCTGGTGACGTCTCTAAGGTGGTTGCCATAGAATGCTATTTAAGTGTTGGCATATCTATTCCTTGCTTGCTCTACTTGACTTTTTTTTTTTTTTTTCCACTTAGGTTTATTTTGAAGGCTCTCTCACTGAGAATTATTCTAGGAATGGAGTGGTTCAGATGTGATGCTATTTTCTGAGGTTGAGGCAAATATCTGGAGAATTTCATTGTGCATAACTCTTACCCAGAGCCACTAAGAGAGTACATCCTGCCTGTGGAGTATGGTGCTCCCTTATTAAGCCATTAAACTGAACCTGAACACTTTCTGAGTTCTGTCTTAAGAAGTGGGTATTGTGGGTGAGAAAACATGGGGCACTTGTGGAAAATGATGGAAGAAGAGTGAGAGGACCCCAGAAGGGGGCGACCCCTGGGTAGTCTCCGGGGACTTAGAGCTGCCCACCTGCCTTGCCCATCTGAACTGAGATGGCGAACAGAAGGCTGCTGCCCTTCCCTGTCCTTGGAGCACTCAGAGAAGCTGGCTCAGGGCCACCTGCCATTGGGAGGGACACCATTTCATGGTTACTGTATTGGTTCTCAGAGCGAAGCATTTCTAGGCTCAAACCTGAAGGGCACTTAGCACGGTCTTGACTTCTATAACTACTTAGTGGCTTTGTGGACAGTGGGATGGGCCCCTGGCTTGGCCATTAACTTTGTGATGACCTCACACTTGTCGCTTGACCTCTCTTACGCAGCAGTTTTCTAACACTTTACAACTCTGTGGTCCCATTAGCTCTCTCACCATGGGGAGCTCCCACTTACTGTTATTAACAGTGTTAGACTGCCTCCATCCACCTGGCCTCCACTAATATTCCACCAACCCATCCAGCATGTCCTCTGGCCTTGTCCTTACTTTAAGGGCATCACCCTCATCTTGGCTCTGCTCCCTTACTGTAGACCTGCTTTGATCAGGTCATTGAGATTTTATTTGTTGGGAGGAGGTTGGGAACAAAGGTAGAATAAGAATATAGGGAATATGGAGATATCACAGTTATAAATGGATGAATTTGTACTTGTATCCAGATAAGGATGGAAATACATTAACTGTTACCTTTAGTATTTTGACCATGCCGATCTGATCTTTATGTTTTTCCTTTTTAAACTTTACATGACATAATACAAGCTTCTGGACCCTGTGGTTTTATCTAGTGGATACTGGACTCAGGTTCTGAGACTTAGGAATGATGAAGTTGTGTCATCCTCATCAAATCAGTAACCTTCCAGGGCCTCAGTGGTCACATCTGTACACTGGGAATGACAATACTAACATTCATTCCTAGTAAAGGTGAAGGATTCCTATGAACAAAAGGGAAGCCCAGGACCTGCCCCATCTCAGCCACGGTTAACAGGCAGGTGAGGATGCTGGCTGGTGGCATGATTTGTCCTACCCTTGCAGCATGACTCTGAATTAGTGTGGCCTGGGGGCTGGCAACTGGGTCAATTCCTGGATGGACATAGTAACAATCAGACTGTGCCGGTCTGTGTCCCCACAGCGGCCAGTTTGCCATTGTGAAGAAGTGCCGAGAGAAAAGCACAGGGCTGGAGTACGCGGCCAAGTTCATAAAAAAGCGGCAGAGCCGGGCCAGCCGGCGGGGCGTGAGCCGGGAAGAAATCGAGCGGGAGGTGAGCATCCTGCGGCAGGTGCTGCATCCCAACGTCATCACGCTGCACGATGTCTTCGAGAACCGCACCGACGTGGTGCTCATCCTGGAGCTGTGAGTGGGTGCCCGGGACCCCTGGTGGGGGCGGGTAGGGTGCTGGATGGTGCAGCCACAGGTCCCAGAGGTCAGTAGCAAGCGGATGAAGTCAACGGTGGGTTGTTTCCCTTGGTTACCGTCCCCCCTCCCCCTGCCGCCCTGCAATCTGGGTCAAAGTAGGTGGGTTTGCTGAGTAGTGGGGACAGGGCAAGAGTCTAGGTCTGGCTTTCATTGGACCCTGGGGATAAAAGGGAAGCAGTGGCTGGTGCTGGGGTCATTTCCTGGCTGGAGAGCTTAGGGGAGGACGTGGTTGGGGGGGGGCGGGGACGGTGGGGGATGGGGTGTAAGAAGGTGGTGGGAGGGAAGGAGAGGCAGTCTCGGAGGGGTCTTCTCTATGAGGAGGAGAGAAGCAGACATGCTCCAGGCTCCAGAGAGCCCTTCTCCAGCCCTCTCCTGAGGAAAAAATCTCCACATTTGTGCTGTTTGATGCCTTCATTATCCTAATAATAGCTGGTATCGAGAGCTCCCCACCCCCATGGTAAGCCAACTATTTGTCAGGTGCCTCATGTTTGCCGTCTTGTTCAGTCCTCACAGGCTCCTGAGGGAAGTGTCCTACTAGCCTGGAGGGCTTACTTTTTATTCACTGTACCGAGCACTTCTTTTACCTTACTTAATCTTCCTAACAATCTTAGCACACAGAAGCTCTTATTCTTCCCATTTTACAGACAAGAACACTGAGAGGCCAGATCACTTTTGACCCCAAAGCCAGAAAGAGGAGGGGCCAGGACCTGAGTCCACAGGCTTGTGTGGACAGCTATGAGTGTGAGGTGGAATGGCCTTATGCCGGCCTCGTGGGGGAAGATGTCACAGTCTGGTGATACCAAGACTCCAGGGGTTGGCCACCTGGTGTCCCTCCAGAGGTGTGGCCATGGAATGCGGAGATGGGACTCTGGCAGACAACAGAGTTTGAGCTGGACTGTGGCACAATGGCTGTGTCCAGTCAAGCAGCAAGACCCGTGTTGGGAATATTCTGAGCCTCACAGGCATCTATGCATCTGCCGGTTAACAGAGGGGTGGTGGCATTTGTTTTGGTAATCCCTGACTTTGTGACCTTAGGCCAGTCACCTCCCTCCTCTGAGCTTCAGCTTTCATCCATAACTGCAGCAGCCACCCTTCACCTGCCTACAAGTTGGATGGACCACCTGACATTTGAAATAATTCTAGTTTAAGAGCTAAACCCTTGTATTACCAGGATATAGATTTACATAGCAGATGGCCTTTTGCATACTCTTGCATTGGATGCTTAAATTATCCATCTCTCTGTTTAAATGCATAAAATCACTCGTGCTACTCCTTTCTCACTCGAGCGTCCTTCATGTCTCTCCCGTGGTCTTCTCAGCCAGTCACACTAGCTGGCAAATGCCACTGCTGACTCAGCAAGCCTGGGGGTGTCCTGCAGTTGTGGTCAGCCATGTGGACAGCCCGAGGTGTGGCATCCTACGGGGCTTAGGGGAAGCAGTTTGCACACTGGTTCCTAGTAGAGTGAGAAGCCCATCTCTGCTGGGAAGGCGAGGCCACTGCTTTAAAAAACTTTTCAGCATCTGAAAAGAAATTACATTCATAATCCTACCACCCAAACATAGCTATTTATGTTTTTCTGTGATTCCTCTCAGTCTTTATCTGTTTGTATACAATCATTGTAATTGTACAATTTTTTGGTCTACTTTCCCCCCTCAGCATAATTTCACAAAAAGGGTTTTTTCTTTTAACTGAGTGTATCATGTTTCATTGAATTACATACTTGTGTATCTTTATTGTTAGACATTTGGTTTTTATTTCCCAGCTTTTAACCATTACAGATTTTACGGCCATGAAACAACTTTCTTCTCATAATTTCCCACCTTTTTGTTTGTTTCTTTGTTTGTTTGTTTGAAATAATCCTTTCGGATCAGTCCCCAGGAAGGGGATCATTTTCATAAAATTAAATTTAATTAAATTAAATTAAAATTAAAGAATTTTATTCTTTAATTGCAGGGGAAATTGCCTGCTTCTCTCTGTTTGTAGAACCCTAAGAGTTGGGGTCTGGGATGCTCTTGAGATGTCTCTGTTTCTCCCAGCAAGGCTCCTGGTCTGTGACAGCTGTGTGCCCTCTTCTAGTGAGCTGTCACTGTCCATACCACCGGTTGTCACCAGCGTGAGCTGCCATGCTTGCTCAGTTCTGTGTACTTACAGTTTCTCTGTCTCCTCCTTTTCTTTCAGGCTGTCTCACTGCTCTCACTGGGGTCTGAGAGGGAGGATGTCCCGACAGAGAAAGGATTTTTGTGGGCTTTTTTGTGGTTGGACTTGGTTGGGCTGTTCAGCAGCCTTTGGCAGCCCGGTCCTCATGGTAACCTAATAGGTCAGTGGTTTTGCCCAGTGCTGGAACATGAGTATTAGTGCCTGCCTGTTCAGTTGAAATGGCAGGTTTTATGGATGGGTCTACCCCAATCCCACTGCCCCTCTCAGCAACTGTGGTCTGGTGCCTGGCACGCTCTGCTTTCTATTAAAGTGACCAGTTCTCGGGGCACCTGGGTGGCTCAGTGGGTTAAAGCCTCTGCCTTTGGCTCAGGTCATGATCCCAGGGTCCTGGGATCGAGCCCCACGTCGGTGGGGGGGTGGTCTCTGCTCAGCGGGGAGCCTGCTTCCTCCTCTCTCTCTGCCTGCTTCTCTGCCTACTTGTGATCTCCGCCTGTCAAATAAATAAATAAGTAAAATCTTTAAAAAAAAAAAAAAAGTGACCGGTTCTCAGAGGACATGCCCAGCCCTGATTTGAGTCCCTTTTAGCTGTTGTTCCCCCATCCATGACCTCCTTAGCAGCAGCTGCCTCCAGTTAGGACTGTTGAAGGCAAAGATGGGAGGGATTCGGTTTTACCATATAAGCTGACTTCTGTATACCATAAAGAATATTTTCAAAATCTCAGTAGATTAACTCATGTCATATGTGGAGTGTGTTCTGGAAAATGTAAGTCAGCCCTGGGAGGTTGGACAGGCCTTCCATCCAGGCCCCTGATGGCTCTGGTACCTCCCGGATCCCCAGCGAATGGAAAGCAAGACCCGGGCAGTTGCATTGGAGAGAACGACCCGGCAGAGCACCCCAGCGTGTCGGCAGTGCTTCCCAGTGCCCCAGATTGAGTGCTGTTTCCTGGGCCTGAGCAGCTCCAGCAGCATCCTTCCTCAGTCACTGCCCACGCAGGTCATTTTAGCGCACGTTCACGAAACAGTCAGAAAAGGGTTTCCAGCAGGCAAAACAACCTGCAAGGAGGGAGATCAACGGACCAGGAAGGGACTGATCCTGGGGATGCTGAGAGGATAGGACAAGAGGCTCAGACTATTAGGTTTTGCTTTTCATCTTTAAGCTAAGGAGCTTTGGGATGTGAGAGGAGAGACCTTTTGGGAGGAGACAGGGAGCTCCAAGGAAGAGGTTTGGGGACTGAGAAGCCCTTGTGAAAAGCTGTGTTAAGGGGAAAATGAACAAAACCTTGAGGAGAGCTGCCAGGGCACTGATGTGAGTGTCCCCAGCCTGGGTGTCCAGACTTGGACATTTACCGTGGTGACCTCCTCAGTCTTCCACCCTTCCAGGACTCTCGGGGGGAGTCTGAGGACCCCTGTGGCTATTCCCTCCTTTATGCGAAGGAGACCATGGGTTACCCGGTCTCCTGCCCAGATCACACCTTCAAATGGAGTGGCTGATAATTGTCTCCCAAAGTCCTCACCCAGCCTGGGCCTTCACATCGGTGGCTCTGGGTGACAGGACACATCCCCATTATCATGAGATTCTTTCACACTTAGGGAGCTTTCTATTTAAGGTAAGAAGGCTAGGATATGCCCGAGGCAGCAGCCTCACAGAACCCAGCAGGGGCTGGAAGGACAGAAACCAAGGGCCAGCAAGAGGGGACGCTGTGGATTTGAACATTGGCACAGGGCTCCGGACAGGTCTCTTGCCGATGCCACGGTGTCACTTCTGTATGATATGGAATATCCTATATCATGTTGAGAGTTTTAATGCTTTTTCCCCTTTGTTCTTTTACCCACCTACCTTCTATTGAATGCCTTTTTTACACAAGGTGCTGTGGAAGCAAAGATAACGTAGCTGGGGAGAGAGACAGACAGCTAACAATAGTGTGATATGAGGGATCGAAAGCGAGTGTGGCTGAACAGGGATGTCAGAGGACCGCCCACTACTTGGGGAGGCTTTGAGCTTTCCTCATGGCACTAAGTCAGGCTTTATAATGTGGAGACAGTGCGGTGAGAAAGACATGGTGGACTGGGGCTGAGAAGATCCGGCTCTGAATCCTGGTCATGTAATTTACTGTGTGACGTTGGGCAAGTCTCACTCTCTTGGGGCCTCTGTTTCTCATTTGAAATAATCAGGACAGAAGTTCCATCTACCCCTCTGGGGGGATGTGAGTTTCAAGGGAGAGAATGCTCAGGGGAAGCACAGGTGGCAAACTTTGAGTAGACTTGGAGTCAAATGCCCTTCCACCACCGGCACACCTGACGATGATATGGTGTGTGGTATTTACTTCCAGGACTTCATCAAGGGTCTCATAGCACTTGTCCAACCCTATAGCAAGATTCCCCACTCCCGGGGGCCATAGGCTGGATTTTTTTTCTCATTCCTGTATTTTTTTTTCTTTTTACTCTTTTTTTTTTTTTAATTTGTTTTTTAAAAAATATTTTATTTATTCATTTGACAGAGAGAGAGAGATCACAAGTAGGCAGAGAGGCAGGTAGAGAGAGAAGAGAAAGCAGGCTCCCTCCCTGTTGAGCAGAGAGCCCAATGCGGGGCTCAGTCCCAGGACCCCAAGATCATGACCTGAGCCGAAGTCAGAGGCTTAACCCACTGAGCCACCCGGGCACCCCATCCTCATTCCTGTTTTGCAAGAAGAAAAGCCAGGCCCAGGGGCTCTCCCGTGCCATACCCTCAGGGGAAGTTTGGATCTATGTTAGGGAAGGATTGGGACCACCGTCCTGGCCCTTTGACTGGACTCAGGGTTACTCCTTCAGCAGCTAAGAGGGGGCTCCACTTTCCAGCACCTGCCCAGGAGGGGGTAGGGCAGAGAATGGCCTCACCCCCAAGACACTTGGAGAAATAGTGCACCAGCCTCATCCCAACACTGAGGCAGCCACCTCAGGCTGTGCCCAGCTGAGGGAGTAGAGGGGCAGTGCGGCTATAGCAGCCGACAAGTTCTCAGGCGCCATCTCACTGGCGCCTCTCTCAGGCTCTCTTCACCCCTTTACCACCACCCCCACTTTCTCTAAATATTGACTCAGCATCTCTTATGCCAGAAAGATGAGGACCTGATTATGGCTCCTGCCCTTGAGAAGCTCACACCCCAGCAGGAACAGGGTCTTCTTTTTGACATTCATCTGTCTGCCAGGAGGAGATATTTTTAACCCCATTTGACAGATGAGAGAAGACTAAGGTGGAGAGTGACGTGCTAGGCAGCCACAGAACCAGCGCGCCAGCAGGCATGCCCCTCACCTCCAAGGCTGGCCAGGACCCAGGGATTTCCTGCCACATACATGCCCTGTACGCATCCCCCCACTCCCGCCCCTGTCTCTGGGCCTTTGCTCATTTACCATACTCCCCCGGCCAGGCCCTCCCCAAGCCTCACTGCATCCCCAGCGCCTTCTCCCACACTAACCACATGTGACAAACAATAACTCATGGCGGAAGCCCTGCTGGTGGAGTGCTGACACATGCTGGTCACTGGGCTGAGTGCCTTCCTTATCGCACCAGCCCATTTGCTCTTCAGAACGAGGTGAGCATGTAGACATCCTCATTACCCCCAGTCCCTGACAGGCATGGTTGAGAGGGTTAGGGCAGCTCCTCTACAGCCACATGTTCATCCGAGGAGATGGTGTTGGACAGTGGCTGGGGCCTGGACATGGCCTTGACCGCACGCTCCCCTGCTGAGAGACCTTGCATGGCCACTTCCCTCCTGTGGGCCTCGGTTTCCTCATCTGTTATGGAGGAACTGCCAGGTGATGATGGTCATAATGTGGGAGGGCAGCTGAAGGAGATCCCAGAGTCTGCCCCCACCCCCCACTGTGGAAGTTTACTGCTAACTTCTGATTATAGTGGATTTCAAATACACAAAAGTAGAGAGAAAAATGTAAGGAACGCTCATATGCCCATCACCCAGCTTCGAATGATCAACGTTTTGCCATTCTTGTTTTATATAAAACTCCTACTCCCCCACCTGCCCCTACCCCAGCTGATTGTTTGCTGGAATATTGTACAGCAACTCTCAGACAAAATGTCACTTTACATATAAACACTCTAGTGTGCATCTCTCATTGATGACAGTTTTTTAAAATGTGGCCATCGTGTATCTATCCCATGACAGAATTATCCAGTCGGGCCTCAGGACCACCGAGGCTATCTATGCTCCAGTCCATAGTGATGTTTCTCTGATTGACCCAGAGATATCTTTTTATGGTTGTTTTATTTGAATTAGCATCCAAATGAGGTCTGCACACTGCATCTGGTTCTTTTGTCTCTTCTGTCTCATTTCTCCTGTAGCAGTTCTCCTTCCCCTTCTTCCTTGATGCTATTGATTTGTTGGAAAAAACTAGGTCATTTGTCCCGTTGATTGTCTCACAGCCTGGATTTGGCTTATTCCTTCCTCATGCTGTTAGTCAACTTGTTCCTCTATGTCTTGCATTTCCTGTAACCTAATGGCTAGATCTAAAGGAGATAACCTCCGTATTGGCACAGTTCAAGAGAAATATAATATGAACCATATATGTGATTTGAGATTTTCTACTAGCCACCTTGAATAATAAGTAAAAAGAAATAGGTGAATTAATTTTTATCATTTTTTATTTACTCCTATATATATATAAAATATCATTTTAATATGTAATCGATATAAAAATCATTAATGAGATATTTCACATTCTTTTTTCCATATTCCATCTACAAAACTTAGTGTGTTTTTTACACTTACAGCACATTTAGCTCATTCTCAATGTAATGGTTAGCGTGAAATACGATCCTATCAAAACAATAAAGTTGTGTTTGGAGTAAACTATTTTATACCCCTTCAGTTTTTGAATCAAAATGATTTCAAATGAAATAAAATTTAAAATTCAGTTCCTCTCAGATGCTCAGTAGCCACATGTGACTAGTGGCTATATTGGACAGTGTTCATAGAGCACATTTCCATCCCAGCAGAAAGTTCTGTTAGCTAGCACGGAGCGAGAGGCTGATGCAGAGGTGGGTGTGAGATAACGTCATGGGTGTTGCTGTATATTTGTTCTTGGTACCCCATCGTATCCAGGGGTTCTGTTTTTCGTGACGCTGAGATTGAAGAGTGGTTCCGTGGGTGCTTCTGGACATTTTTAAAGAAAGGAGAAAAAGGACATTTTGGTGCTCTTTGTTTAGGATGAACTCGGCAGTAGGGAATAAGTGAGTCCCCAAATTGGGACAGAAGCCATTCTGGCCATTTAAGAATCATCTGAGGACATTCAGTATGATGGAGTGGTTGAAAGTCATCCTGCCTGGGTTTGAATCCTGACTGCCACTTACTAGCTCTGTGACCTTGGGCCTCTGTTTTTTCAAACACAGAGACTGAGCGTCTGTTTTTTTAAGTAGGAAATACTAGTTCTTAGCTTGTAAGGTATTGTGATGGTTAAATGAGATAATATGCCTTAAGTATACATTATGCACAGAGTAAGTATTCAATAAATATGAATTACTAGTGTTATTTTTTTTATTGTAAAAATATAGGTTCCAAGGCTTAGGGGCTGGAGAATCTAATTTGTTAGGGTCTGTGGTAGGACCTGGGATCTGCATTTAAAGCAGGTTTCCCAGGTGATCCTGAGTTCTTGGACACTTCAGTCCAGATCTCTTCCTAATATCTTTCCCTGGGATGACCCTTGGGTCTGTCCCAGCCCCAGAGAAGCACATCCTGGCTGGATACCCTAGCATCCATCAGAGGACAAACAAACCCAGTAGAGCTATCAGATTTAGTGAATAAGAATCCCCTATTTTATCTGGCAACCCCAAATCCCTAATTCTGATAATACTGTAAACTAGGCAGGAGTGGGGGGGTGGGGGAGAAAAAAAACACTGTAAACTAGTATTTACAGGGGAGGTTGTTTTTGCTCTGTGGGCCTCCATTCTTGTCATATCTACCATAAGGTGCAAGAGAGGGGAGGGTGAGGACAAGAGTAACATGGTCAGGTTTTTAAATGGGTCTAGAACCCATGCCTAGATTCCCTTGAGCTTTGAGGAGGCCATCTTTTGTAAAATGAAAGGGCTCAGGAGCCGTCTTTCTCAATCTGCTCATCCTGCAGGTAAGGAAACCAAGATCTGCCTGAAGGGGGAAAGTGAATTGCCCAAGGTCAGTGGCAGAGCTGGACTAAAACCTGGGCCTCCAGTTTCTGGCCCAGCATATGTTCCTCTTTGTCACTGCACAGCACTGTTTCTGTCCTCTGTCCCCTGTCATGGGTTGGGGAGAGGTAATACCAAGGGTAACCCGAGATCCTTCTGGTGACTCTCTAAGAGCAGTTCCTGCCCTTGTGATCCAAAGGGAAGAATGCAGTGAATGGAAGCAAAATTGGTTCCTGGTGCTGGCTAGACAGAACCCCAGAGATGGGTGAGGTGATCCTGCCATATGTCCAAATGGTGGGGGTCATGGTTAGGAGCTGCACCCATGGCCCGGCCCCCACCCCACCACCGGTGTCTTGCAGAGTGTCAGGAGGAGAGCTCTTTGACTTCCTGGCCCAGAAGGAGTCGCTGAGTGAGGAAGAGGCCACCAGCTTCATCAAGCAAATCCTGGATGGTGTGAACTACCTTCATGCCAAGAAAATTGCTCACTTTGATCTCAAGGTCAGTGAGGGGATGTGGGAGAAGAATCGTCTTAGGAAGAACGGGCCCTGTCCCTTCTGACATTACTGCTAGGAAGGGATCAGCGCCCCTTTGGCCATCCTCCCTCAACTCGCCATGGAAAACTCTGAGCATCTAAGAAAAATACGATGCCTCAGGAGGCGTCCCTCGGTTTCATTTTGCATTATCAGGCTTTTTTCACAGAGGGGCTGGCTGCAAGAAGCTGCTTCTTCAGACCACAGGTACCTTATCTCTTTCAGACAGTAGTAGGTGGTGTGTCATTTTTAAATAGTAGACCACTGACAGGAAACGTGAAACCAAACACGTGTCACAAGGCTGGACTCTTCAGTAACCAAGAACTAACTCAGGAAGAGGCAGAAGTGTTAGCGTTCAGGTGAGCACTGCCGAGGTTGGCTGGCTGTCTGGGCCCCGCACAGCCTCCGGGGCCCCTGGCCCAGAGGTCATCAGTCTTGGAGCCTAGGGACCGCTAGCTGCCCTCCCTGTTCCCATCTTCTAACGTGGCCACAAAGCTGCTTCCAAGGGGCACTGATCATTTGTGGTAAGTGGTATTCAGGGTTGAGAAAGTTCACTGTGACCACATAGGAGCTCAGAAAGCAAGAATGTGGTCAAAGTAGAAGGATCAGTTCCTGTAGTAACTGAGCTCAGTTTAGTGGACTGATGAGCCTTTACAGACCCCCGAAGCATAAAGATCCTCTAACCCGGGATCAGAGAGACCTTTTTACCTGGGGGGGGGTGGGGGGAAGACCCGTTCAGTTTTCTATCCAGAAAGTCCTATTGTGTTTCAAGCATTGTGCCATGTGCCTAGGTATTTCTACAGATACACAAACCAACTAAGGACCTGTCCAGGCTCAGTTCCTCTTTTCTAGGAAACCTAGTATAGGAGACAGGAAAGAAACTCAACAACTCTTAAGTGCTGCGATAGGAGGAAGTATAGGGAAGCTGGGGAGCTCAAAGGAGAGGGCATCTGAGTCAGACTGAGGTATCCCAGAGGGTTCCTGGAAGAGGTGATATTTGAGTTGAGTTTAGAAGGACTGGCAGGTTGTACTACTGGGTATTTACCCCAAAGATACAGATGTAGTGAAAAGAAGGGCCATCTGTACCCCAATGTTTATAGCAGCAATGGCCACGGTCACCAAACTGTGGAAAGAACCAAGATGCCCTTCAACGGACGAATGGATAAGGAAGATATGGTCCATATACACTATGGAGTCTTATGCCTCCATCAGAAAGGATGAACATACAACTTTTGTAGCAACATGGACAGGACTGGAAAAGATTATGCTGAGTGAAATAAGTCAAGCAGAGAAAGTCAATTATCATATGGTTTCACTTATTTGTGGAGCATAACAAATAGCATGGAGGACAAGGGGAGATGGAGAGGAGAAGGGAGTTGAGGGAAATTGGAAGGGGAGGTGAACCATGAGAGACTATGGATTCTGAAAAACAATCTGAGGTTTTTGAAGGGGCGGGGGGTGGGAGGTTGGGGGATCCAGGTGGTGGGTATTGGAGAGGGCACGGATTGCATGGAGCACTGGGTGTGGTGCAAAAATAATGAATACTGTTACGCTGGAAAAATAAAAAATAATAAATAAATAAATAAATAAATAAATAAATAAACAAACAAAAGAAGGACTGGCAGGGGTTACCAAAGGGGAAGGGTCTTCGGAGGAAGAGAGGCTAGCAGTGTACATGGTCTGGAAAGAGCACAGTGTGTTCAGGAAAGTACAGGCAAAGAGTAGATGTTCTGAATGACTGAATGAACAAGCCAGGAGGAGAGCAGAAGGCAGACACAAGGGTGTGAGAGCTAAACCAAAGAGGTTGAACTTTACCCTGAGGGATACAGAATAGGGAGTGGGGTGGGGGGGAACATGGAGGTGAGATGAGCGGATGTGTGTTTCGAAGGATCTCTCTCTGGCTGAAAGGTTGGATAGAATGGGGACACCTGGAGGCTGGGGGCCTAGCTGGGAGGCTAGTGCCCTAATCTGGTGAGGGTGTGGCCTGAGCGGGCCTTTGGCCTTCGGAGTGGTAACACTCTGAGTGGGAAACCGTCTACTTGGATTGCTCTTGTGTCTCCCTCCTGAAAGTACTGAGGAGAGTTAACTTGTTGTTTTCTGTGTCTTTACTGCTTCCAGGAGCCTGGCCTCACTCTTTGTCTTTTCTCTACCAGGTCTGGTAGAGGTAGGAGGAGTTATAATCCCATAGGTACCATGACGGTAGCCCCTTCATGCTGTTTAACTTGCTTGTGTGCAGGGCTCCTGGGTGGCTCAGTCATTAAGCATCTGCCTTCGGCTCAGGTCATGATCCCCCACATGGGGCTCCCTGCTCCGTGGAAAGCCTGCTTCTCCCTCTCCCAGTCCCCCTGCTTGTGTTCCCTCGCTCACTGTCTCTCTCTCTGTCAAATAAATAAATAAAAGAAGAAGAAGAAGAGGAGGAAGGAGAAGAGGAAGAAGAAGAAGAGGAAGAAGGAGAAGAGGAAGAAGAAGAAGAGGAAGAAGAAGAAAAGAAAAGTCTTTAACTTGCTTGTGTGGCTGCTGTGGGGAGGGGAGTGTTGGCTTGGAGGCGGCCAGGCCGGGGTTTGGTCTTCATTCTGCTGGATACCAGGATACCCCTGAGCCTCAGTCGTTCAGCTTCAACGCAGGTAATAATCCCCACCTGGCACAGTTGCCGCAGGGGTTAAAGAGAAGCTGAGTTAGCGGACTCCCCGGTAGCACTCTGTAATAGTACCTGCCATTGTTATTTCCCCTCCCAGCAGAGAGGAAAAGAAAACACAACTCTTGTTACAGGATTTTGGGCCCATCAGACTAGGAAAACAGGCCTGCTAATGCAGTTCTCAACTGCCCAGCAGAGAGCTGAGATTGAAGGCTGCTGGGGCATGTCTGGCTCCTGGGCTCAGTCTGGCTGCTTTCCACCACCTAGAGACAGTCTGGGTTGCCTCAGATGTGCGCAGGGCGAGGCTGCTGCTAACCCCTATCTTGGCCTCCTGTCCTTAGAGCTGTGCAGACGCCGAGCCTTCTGGCCCCTCCGCCCCATCTGTGGTCTCTTGGCCCAGGCCCAGCTGAGCAACTCCAGGAAGTGATGAGTAGCTGTGTTACCTCATGATGGGGTAGACATCCCTGGAGCCAGAATGTGGGTAGGCGTGCCCCCGGCTGGAACTTTCCACCAGCTAGAGGGGATGATGTAGAAAGTCCAGCTGGTAGCTTGGGGTTGGGTGGGGGGTGGTTCCATGTTGTTTCCCACCATCTAAAAATCATTTTTCACAGATATATTTTTCTTCCTGATTTTCATTCTCTTTGAGGTGCCTCTGCTTTCCTCAACACTTGTATTCTCTTACTCCTCACCAAGTGAGTCAGGCTAGTCTTGTGGTCCCACGAACACAGCCACCCTGTTGTCTCCAGGCCCCTACCTGTGACCTGTTCTCCACGCTCACCTTCTAGCTTGAAGGGGCAGATGATGGAGGAGGGGCAGCTCAACGGCCTCTGGAATACGAATGGCTTCTCCTGGGACTGCTAGCCAGTTAGCTCCTCCTGTTCAGTCACGGTGCTAGAGAGGCTAGAGAGGTGAGGCCCCATTCCCGGCTCCATGTCAAAGCTGACATGCTCCCAGCCTTGTGGCAGAGAACAATAAATGTACCAATTACCATATGATAAGCAGTCTTGGGAAAACAGATCAAGGCAGGCTGCTGCCCAGAAATTTGTAATGGGTCGGTCCTTGTCATCTGTAGGATAAATGAACCCATTGTCAGCATGACATTCAGGTCTGATTCTGACCTCATCTACCTTCCCCAACCCCCCCACCCCCTCCAAAACTCTAGCCCCAGGCAACAAGATGACAGATCCCTATTCTGGCCTCTCTCCTCCTTTGTTCATGCTGTTCCCATCCAGGAAGCTGCTGCTCCTCCTTTTCTCTGGCCATAGACTTCCTTCCTGCTTGCCCTTCTAGGCCCAGCAGAAGCACCACTTCCTCTGGGAAGCCTTTCCCATCCCTGCTACCTCCCAAACCATAACTTAGAATGAACCTGCCTCTCTGATTCTGTTGCCCTTTGTACAGCCTTCTGCTGGGAGTATCTGTCGCTCTCACTCACTTTCTGCTGCTCATATCTAGCACCGTCGCTGACACATGAAGAATTAATGAGTAAATAAAGGGATGAATGCCTTGGTAAGACCAGATGTGTCATGGCCCTTTCATGTCACCTGGAAAATGCAAGAGAGGCTACAGGCAGGTTTTAGTCCCATGATGTGAACATTTATTGAGGGACTTTCATATGCCCAGGAGTAGAGTGTCAAACATCAGTGCAATAGGGCACCTGCTTTCCAAGGGCCCACTGTCTACTAGGAGATGGCCATGGTGGGACTCAGGGGGGAGGCCACCTTCTGAAATGAAAGCTAACCATGACTCTCACCAGCAAAATCTCACTTCCAGGGGTAAGTGTTCTGACTCAGCAGAGGGAATACCATGCCAGTGTGTGTTGTAAATATACCCCAGAAAGGCCCATTGATGTGGGTGGTTGTAGGTGGTGAAGGTAGATGATGTTGCCCTGTGTTTGCCTGGATGGAAGGAACCCTAGGGCTGACTGCCCCTCAGTACCACCTAGCACCTGGTGTGCCTTCAGACATGGCGTCTGCATGGTGGCTTACCCTCAGTACTGCCCGGAAACCTCACCCTGGCATGCCATCCCAGCACAAATGAAGGTCTTGTAGAGGGCAGGTTTGTGTGGTTTTGTGTTTATTTTAGATTTGGGAGTTTCCCTTCTGAGTATGGGTGTGTCTCCCCTACACCCCAAACCAGCTGGAGAATTCAAAAATGGAAGGTCGTATTTTCAGCAAAAAGAACACGCCATGAGGATTGAATGAAATTATATGCAAGCCAGGAACCTAGAACTCTCATGGGGCTTTTGGTTTATATAAATAGCATTAAGAAGTGAATTTTGAATTTGTAAACAAAGTACCCAAAATCCAAATTCCTCAATGCTCTGATCATCCTTT